GTACGGTACGGGACCGGAGGGCGTACGTAAATCGGGGGATTCATAAAATAGAGGTTGGGTTAAATTTGTGGTAACCTTTGACCTAATACGTACTTAACGCTCAATATACGTATGTATGAACGAATGATGTTCTAGCTAGGCTAGACCAAGCCTCTAGGCCTACAAATAAAACCATGTGTTTAGTGTTTTTATTCATCACTTTACGACGTCATAATAAAGTGTTCAAATAAAACCGTGTGTCTACTGAATTAATTCATCACTTTATATCTTTTATTTAACTAAAGAACATGAAGATATTGTAAGATTACCTATACGACAAAGGTATAACTTGGGAATTCCCCTTCATGCCTATTTTAAACAACAGAGCTGTGGTGTTGTCTGGCCCTGTTGAGACAAACTAAACCCATGTGCGCTGCACTGGACGAGCCAACCAATTAGCGTTCGTGTACGTGAAACATCAACCATGTGCACTGCACTGGGCGAGCCAACCAATTAGCGTTCGTGTACGATACTATGCCTACTCAGCTTCGTGTAGAAAATTCGACCAGGCAAGTGTTTCCATGGTTTGCCACACGAAACTAAGGAGGAAAGCCATTATCTTGAGCACCATCGGTAGTTGTTCATCTCACTCAGTTCACGTGGTTTTAGATTATAACAACCCGGTATTAGGCTAAATCAACGTTGCTGTTTAATGAAAATACGTTGCATTATGGTTTGTTTATTGTTATAGTTTATTGTTATAGTCTTTTTACTTATGGTTGCTCTGAAAAGGGCCGTTTGTTTTGAATCCAGCCATTGTGGGAAACAATGGCTGGATCTCGGTAGAGATACAAAAATGATAAGCAATGGCTAAAAAGTAAACGTAAGTCAAAAACCAGAAATAGAACCAGAGCTTTCGGACAACACTAGTCCTTCCTCAGTGGCGAGTGAGTGAGGGTAGTAAAAGCCAGATAGTATAAAGTGAAAATTTCATGCAAGCATGATTAGAAACAATAGGCTAGGTGAAATTAGATTAAACAGCCTAAACAAGTAAACAGGAAGGCCAAAACTAAATTTTAGAGGCATCACATATAGGGAGAGAGTTTAGACAAATTTTTACACTTTTACATGCATAAAAATGTTGATTCAAAGTAACATGCAAAATGTAAAATAATGGTAAAATTATAGTGTAACCATGGATATAATATTCATTTTTAAGTAACCAAGTACATAGCTTTAGTTGACGTCATAGAAAACTGGAGAATGGTTATTGCAAAATTTCACAGGGGATGGAGTGGGTACTGAAAAAGAGTACTGTTTGTGCACTTGTGAAAATATTGATAATTATGAATGACCCTTTAGCATTATTTATTATTCTATTTTAGCAACAATAATAAATAGAAGGTAGATGACAAAAACAAAAGAAACTTTATGGGTTTCACCTAATATTCATGCATAAAATCATAATTTGCTTCTTTGAAAACTTTAATAGGAAACAAATAGATGACAGTAATATACATATAGTTTCCCTTAAATATTTGTTTCAGCTGATCCATGTTTCAATATTCCATGCGGCGTGGACAGAGGCATATGCGAGAGAAATGAAGATTCCGGCCATAACTGTCGATGTTTTGAAAGATTCCGTCTTGTTGAAAATACCTGCTTGAGTAAGTTTTTGTACATTTAAATGAAATATAATTTTCAAATTTTCACCCCTTGCAACCTAGTAATTTTCTTAAGTAATTAGAACATTTTTCAGTGTCACAGACACTTAATACTAGTAAAATAGTTTTATAGGCTGTGCTGCAGCATCTCTCCTTTTATGTCACTGGCAACAGCTCTAATAAATCTGCTAGCGGGTGCTCCCTTGGCAAGCAATGCCACTGACAACATCCCTGTGTATTGCTGGGATTGACCCTGTGGAATCTCTTAGGCTGTACCCCTTGCAAGGACGCAATCAACCTTGGCAAGTGATGAGACCGATAAAAGCCCTGTAAATTGTCTTTGTTTCACCATTTGAAATCACTGACAAAACCATCCTAATTTTGACTTAAGACACTTTGCAAGATCACTGAAAAAATCATCCTTTTAAATTATGGTGTTTTGTCCCTCACAATAACACTATTCAACAATTTTTATTTAATCTTCAGTTGATCCATGCTATAATAATCCGTGTGGAAATGGCACGTGTACCATTATTGCCAATAGCAGCCATTCTTGCGATTGTTATCCTGGTTATGAGGCTGTAAATGATACATGCAACCGTGAGTAATTAGTCCTTAATATTTTATACCAACATTGAAATTTGGTGGATAATGTTTGTCTTAATCCCACGGTCTTAAAATCAAATTTTCCTCACTACTTAAACAGTGCCACTCCCTATCCAGACTATCACATTTTATTTAACAAAAACATGTGAAATGCCTAAATATGGTCATGATGACATCACATCATGACCATATATATGCAAATCATGACTATATTTGGGCATATAACATTTTTTTGTCGAACAAAATTTTAATTTAATTGTGTGGACAGAGCATTAAGCTGGTTTTCCATAAAATCGCTATACACTACTGCTAACAGGTTTCAGCAATGCTGATTGGTCACAGTGCAACGATTGCAGTGAAAACTATAGTCAAAGGATAGCGATTTTATGGAAACCAGGGTCTAACGGGAGATATGTATCATACTAAACCTGTACCTCAGTTATTATTGTGTTTTTTCTCATTTCAGCAGTATTGACTAGAATATTTGTAGAAACTGTCATACTAAACTTTGATCAGTTATAATTGTGTTTTGCAGAATTAACTAGAATATAATCTCATTTTGCTCTGCTTTCTTTTTCAATATATTTAAGTAAGCGAGCAAGTAACTTGTTTAATAGGATGAAATATTAGTTAAAGATTGAACACATGATCAAACATTTATTCATTTTAATTTTTAGAATGAATATGTAAAAGATATAAAAATAGAATTATTAGTGCATCTGTTAATTGGTGGCATTTTTTTGTCATTCTGTTTACTTTATTTTTACCATTGATATATCCAGGAAACTATTGCTTTGATAACCCATGTCGCCCAGGAAACTGCACTGTGAAGGACAACAGTTTTACATGTAACTGCCCTTCCTCCTACCAATTAATAGATGGAAAATGTAAGTTAAAATTTGTTGAATATCTATTTGGAAAACTTGAATTATATTGACTGATTAGAAACAACATTACCTGTTATCATATTGTTGTGATATGTGACTTGGCTGTGGTTAATTAGCTGATGATCACTTTGGGCAGTGGTTATGTGATTGCTGTAATCTGGCCACACACTACTGACAGGAGACCGTTGGCTGACAATCCATGACGCCAGACCATTTTCTGATTGTCAGGGTGGGGCTCAGGCTATGCTAGCCTGTCAGTGCAGCCTATAACTATATTTTGATTTTTTAGGCCTGGAAAAGGAGAGTATTGTGATGCATGCGGTAGTTGGACTGGCAGGTGGCTTGACAGGTCTTTTTCTCATACTTGTATTTTTTTATGTAAAGAAGTGCTGTCCTCCTCATATTGATGATCCAGGTTAGTCTTCATTTCATATTAAATACATTAAATCACATATGATTATTATATTATTCTATCAACTTTAAAACACAAAGCAACTGTATTTATTGTTAAAATAGATAATTCCTTTCAAGTTCACAGTTCATTTATTTTTAAAAACTAGTAAGATTTAAGAAAATTTATAAAATGTCAAATTGTTTCTTCTCCAGAGCTTAAAAAAGTTTCATCTTTTGATAAACTTATGCTGGAAGACTTAAAATCACGCACTTCAACTGGCTCCTCACTTGCCCCAAGCTCAAGTGAACATTTTTCTGAACAAACAACAATCTCGTTCACTAACGGACAACCACTGCAACCCATAAGTTGCAGCAGTAAATATCCTCCTGATTCAAATGGTGTTTTGACGTCCACATATCCGTACAACCATTGCCACGAAACATGCAGGTAAAATAAACATAATATCTTCAAAGAGTTTATTTTTTCTGGCTGTAACTCGAATTTGCTACACTTAACTATAAGGAGTGCACCATCACTATAATAATCACAAAAATACTGTGTTAAGGAATAGGCGTTTAAAGCTACTTTCTTTTTGTAGGCACTAACTGTCAATCAAATACATAAAGTTGCATATAAAACACAAAACAACTGTTATGATGTAGAACAACATTCGTCATTTACACAAGATAATTGTATAGGCGTAACAAACTAGATTACATAGCTCTTGCAGTTCCAAATACATTTACAATTTCAACAAACTCATGATTCATAGTTTACCCAAGAGTAAATGTTGTAGTATTAAAGTATTCAGATAATTTTGCCTGTATTTGGTGGCCTAAGAAAGATTTGAAATAATATCTATGATATGAACGAATACATTATATTTTTGTTTTCATTTGCATACATTTGTATAGTATATTTGCATAGTGTACTATCTGCACCATTTTTATTTTCTCATTTGCATAGTATAGTATAGTATAGTATTTGCATAGTATACTATCTGCACCATCTGCAAACATTTTATGTCCCCTTGTGGATGGATGGGATGAGTTTACTCATTGCTTGGCAGTTGGTCAGTACTTTTTATTGCCTTTGCCAAGTGAGAGTTTTCTTGTCCACTTTTTGTGTGGGTTAGTGTATGTTTAGAGGATGCCCCTACACATGCAATCTTGTCTTATTGGCTCAACAATTTTATTTAATATTATCTTTAGGTTGCCCTGTAGAATTCATCAGCCACGTTTTCAAGAGAATTGGCCAAGAGCAGAAGATATCCAGCATTATCCTCACAGTGAGGAGGAAACATTCAACTGGCAAACCCAAGTTCAGTATCCCAGATATATTTCCATTGATTCACAACCTTCGACTAGTAATCATGCCAGTGTTGAATATTGTACTGATAGAGAAAGCTCTTTGTAAAGTTATTTTACCATTGATGTGTCATTAATCTGTTCTATAAATCCGAGCACCACACTGCATCGTACGACGAATGTAGAATCATTGACCGATCAATCCATCTCTCTACTCTGTATGGTTACTTGACAACGCAACGTTGTCTGCTGATTGTCAATGGCATGGTTTGCTATGGAATCAGCGATCAATGACTGCCAGCATGGTGCATGTCCAGCCAAGAAGCCATGCTTTTCTAGTAATATTAAAAGCCTATACAATCTGACTTTATTTTTTAAGAAGATATTTGTAGATGTGCATGTACGGGAGGGGTGGGGGCGGGTGTGAGTACTATGTTACTTTATTATTAAAAGCAAGTTTGTTAAAATGTATTATTACTATTAAAAAGGCTATTAGTAGACTAGCATACTTTTGGTTTTGTTAAAAGCAGCCTTAGGTCACTAGTATTATCTGAACATAGGGCTGCATATGGTAAATGGGTTTTTCAGATTAATTCATGAATGTTTACCAAGATAAATCTGCTAGTGCCAGGTTTAGCAGAAAAAGAATGAATGGAATCGTCTGTCCTAACACAGTGTATGTAATTGATACATATTACGTAATCATCCTCATTATTTTTTTGGTTTTAGATTGTGAAGGGACCTCCTAATTTTATTTTGTAATCTAGAAACAGCAAATTACAAAGAGAATACAAAGACAAATACTGTATATACAAATATACAAATAAGGTTTCATTAATAACTTAATGGGATTACTAAAAGTAAAACAAAACACTGTTGATTGGCTTTCAAAGATGGAACACACTACCTGTAAACAGTTAAGAATATACTTATTATATATGAATGTAAAAATTTAAATTTCATATAATTATTTGAAAATAACCGCAATTAAGAATGAAAAACAATTATAATTGGAATGAACCATTTAAAAACTTTGCATTAACACACTGACTGCCATACCTTTTTTTAAGGTTCCTTCCTGAGTGCCCAAACAAGTTTACGTGTACGAACATACTTTTTTTGAAATTTTAAAGATGATGCGTCTAATAAACTCGTCGATGGCACTGTGATAGCACTCTTTCTTGATAATGCCAAGTGCGAGTTTTTTCGTCCGCTTTTGCATGGGTTGGTATAAGTTCCAAGGGCGCACCCACTTGTGCTGCTCGAGTGTACTACCGGCAACATAACACAACAAACATACATACATCATTCAAAATATACATCCCTGACAAGTGGGAAGTGGACGTGGGTGGACGTATCTCAACATATCTCGAAAGTGGTGCATAGGAGCAAGTCTCCAAAAACTATGACAATTTCGTGTCTACTATCTTTTTTCTCTCTTTTTTAGAAATATGCATTCCCTCCCCCTCTCCTGATTGGAGGAGTTACCTATTGAAAAGTACTACATTATATACAGTTCAAAGCTAGCTGAATTTTTGAGTTTATTGTACTTTGAAAATCATAGCATTATGTTTAATTCAGTGGGGCTAGCCCATTTTAGCTAGGTTATTACAAGGTGTCTTGAATGTTGTTCAAGAAAGCAGGGATTTTTAAACACATTGTGTGATTTAAAATCAGAACAGGGTTGACGTATGTTTTGAGTGTATATAAAAAATGTGTAAAGAAAAACAAATGCATGTGCCTTCAAAAGGAGGTTATACACATATACTACCATAAGGGGAAACTATAACAATGGAAAGGGTTAGAAATAATACCTTAAGGCGAAAATACTGCCGCTAAGGGGAAATTTTAACG